CTTAACCACCAAGCCACATCCTGAGGCCTTTTTATTTGTGATTTGGGGAAGGGCCTCCATAAGTTGCTAAGCCTGGTTTTGAATTTGCAATCTTCCTGCCTCAGCCTTCAGAGCTGCTGGGATTAAAGGCATGTGCCACCACAACTGGCAATTACATTCATTTTTAGATCATAAAATAAAGAAATATTTTTAACAAACAGTTGAGACATCATATTACTGACTTTAAGGGAAGTAAAGAAAATTAATAAATGTTTTATTCACTTAATTTTTTTTTTTTTWAAAAAGCTATTTCCTGAAACTGGGAGTTACAAGCATGCCCCACCTCACCTGGCTGGTGTTTTCCTCCATTGCTCAGGCTGCTGCGCTCCACTGAAATGTGCTCTCAAGGCTCAGGCCTCTCCTTCTATTCCACAAGCCAGACCCCAGGGTGGCTCAGGCTCCACTGCCCTGAACTGCAAGGCTCACTGCGAAACCTCGGCACAGCTCAGCTGAGGGCGTGCAGGGTTGTGAGGGCTTCAAAGGATCAGGTCTTCTCATCAGGCAAGAGATACCCTCAGGGGTCACCGCAGAAATGATGTTACGACACTCTRATCACAGAGCCGTTTTATCCATCATAAGTCACGGTTCTCTCTCTCTCTCTCTCTGGACTACACTTTCATTTTGGAATCTTCTCTTGCTTTGTACGTGGTCTAATTAACTACCCAAATTAAGTAGGATTGAATTTTACCAGGATTATTATTATTATTTTTAAATGGGGCTTGTAGTTACCTGTTTTTCTTTAACCTACCAAAATATGTCACTAGGGGGCACTGTTGCATAATAATCTAAATTATTGACGGGCAATCACCGAATTTTATTATTTTTGTTTTCAGCTTCCTTCCAAAAGAAGGCATAGTAGATATTAAAAAATTATTCACGATTAGGAAGTTTCCCCACAAGGGTCTTGGTTGGAGGAAAGGCCCACCTGAAAGACAGATGTCCTGTCCTTAGCTGACCTGGGCTGACCTGGACTTGGCCAGTCAGGTCTTGTCCCATGGATCGCTGGTGCTCTCCGCAGGAATGGGAAGCCTTGCTGCGACCCAGGAAGACACTATGCCGTTTTGGGCTGTGGTGGAAATGGAGCCCTTAGACCTGGTTGGTTCTGTGGCCTGATTTTGGTTGTGATGGTGCTAGCCCATCCCGGTTTGTTCTTGTGTATCTTCTGAGCCCAGTTCYCAGCTTTTTTTTTCTGATAAATTTATTCTTAAGCTGAATCAATCTGAACCAGTTCTGTTCTTGTTCCAAATAGCTAATGTGGATACAGGTGCAGCACCAGACAGGTGTTAAGGCCAAGTACAAAACTTGGGTGCCATATGAAGAAATTAAAATTTYGAAGGAATGAATAAAGATATTAAAAACGATTCGTTTGGGGGTTCTTGGCCTCTCTGGAGTTCTCTTKCTTTGATTGGATTGCTTCTTCCTCGTGGCTGTGACAGAGCCAGGACCTCCCTCCATCCCTTTAGCAGGCGAGGAAGGAAGCAGGACAGGACCTGGACAGAGGGAGGCCGTGTCCYCTCAGAGAAGCAGGTCTGCCTATAGACTTCTGCCCAGGACGGACAAACACTGGTGCCTGCACCTGGCCCAGACCGTGGCGGCCCTGCCTGTGGGATCTTGTTCATGTCTCTAACCAGGAACATACCTCTTGACAATGCAAGGCCTTCCAGGACTTGGTGTCTGTCCACCTGCTCGTTTTCTTGATAGCCTGCATTAGCTTCTGAGGTTGCTATAACAAACAGCCACAAACAACATGCTTAAAACAGAAAGTGGTTCTCACATGGTTCTGGAGGCCAGGAGTCCAGAATCAAGGTGTCACAGGGTCTCCCTGCTGTTGCCCAGGCTCTCCCTGGGAGGTGTGAGGCCTCCTGCAGTTTCTGGAGGTGTCCCTCCCCACCCTGATTAATGGGGGGTGGGGGTGGCGGGGCTGTGCAGCTCCAGTCTCTGCCTCTTCTGTCTTCACAGCACAATCTTCTCTTCTTTGTGTCTTTTCTGTCTCTTTGTTATTGGGTCTAGGGCCACTGGTTAACCCAAGGCTCAAAATCCTCCATTTAATTACATCTAAAAAGGCCCCYTYTTAAAATAAGGTCACATTCACTGGTTCAGGGGTGTGGGATAGGGGCATGATGTTTTGGGAGGGCTGCCATCCAACTCACTACAAAGCCCTTTAAATGATAAGGGCTTTTCT